TGATTTTCTTAATTAGCAATCTACAGTAATGAAAGGAATAAACAAAGATGTTACTAGCTAAGCAATATATATATGCATATATATATATATTCTTATACATGTTATGTTACCAGAACTCCTATCAGATTCTTAGACTGAGCAAATGAAGGCTAAGAAACTTTCTGGGGAGGGCTTGTAGTTAAGCTTGTAAGATAATAATACCATCTGGCTATATATAAGGTAATTATGAGCTAAACATGATATTCCAGGCTTTTGGATAGTGAAATAATCTCAAATAACAAGGAATTCTATCGATGCAGGAAATTTAGGGCAGAATTTTTTGTGTGATGAATTGCCTTCTAAAGCATTGTACTTCTACAAGTTGCTGGGTTTTTTTCCCATAAGAAAAAGATATATTTTACTAAAACTGCTAAATTAAGGGGCAGATGTGCATCCAGCATTTTACTGCATAAAAAGGGAGATTACAAAATGGAAAGGAGAGGGGAAAATGAGGCAGGAAAGATAAAGGACAGTGGGAAAAATCCCTAATGCCATGTTAAGAGAGAGGCCGAAAGAATGGATGGTGGCTTGGATCCCCATCCCAAATTGGCGGAAAGCAAAAGTTGGATGTGGCCTTGAAAGAGGAACCTCTGAAGCCCAGCACTGAATTTGAGCCAGTGTGTTCCTGACAGGATTTTAATTTATAAACATTTCCTTTCCAATTTCCAAAAAGGATGAAGTGGCTAGAGGTTGATTATGGAGGAAAATAATTTTAGTTTCTTGCATGTGAAACATTAGGAGAGAAAAAAAACCCCAAAACCCTTACTCCAGAAAAAAAGCAAAATTTCTGCTTAGCAATGAGATTTTTATTCACCCAAAATATTTTAAACTGACATTTTGCTTCATTTTGTTTCCTTGGTAATGTCAGAATCACTACGTGAATTTCCAAATATATCCCATTCCATCTGAGTGGAATTTTAATAATTTTAATATGGAAAAATGTATAGGTAAAACTTTTCCAACCAGTTCTAGTTGTAGTTTGTTTCCAGACTACAGGCATATTTTAGCAGAATCTTCTCAGGTGCCAAGAACAGGAGGATCCCCGGTCTTGGGCAAAAACACTTGTTTTGGCTGGTCAAAAGAAGAGATCAGGGGAAAAAAAAAAGTAATTTCCCCCCAAATTCATAACTTTTCCTTTTTTTGTTGTTTGTTTAAAATCACATCTTTGACTCCCATAGCATATGTTCTTGCATGTGTTTCTTGGCACTCCTGAAGGGCAGATCTGTTCCTTACGTGCTCGCTGCCTTAATTTTTCTGGGGAATTAATTTTGTCCTGGATGTGTGTGCAGAATTCCTGTGACAGCCATAAATTGTCTTTAATATCATTGTGTACACAGAGCTCCTGTATTAGCAAGTTTTGCTACCTGCCCACCAGCAAAGCCATATGCTGGCATCAGATGTTAATAGGCTATCAGTTGGGTATTTAGCCCTACTCATCTGCTAAATGAGTGTGAGGAACTTGCAACCAAACTTAATGGAATGTGCTCTCCAGTCCTGGGAAACTGCCACAGATTTGTTCCATCAGGAGCCCAACACGAAATGAGTTGGGAATTTCTTTCACAATTGCAGGCTCCTTAAAATTCTCGTTTGTTTTCCAGCGTAGATTAAAAAATAATCTAGAGCCACTCAGGTTGGAGGGGAGTTGAGCCCAACCTCCTCTTCAAAGCAGGGCTGGTTAAGAGAGGAGGCTGCTCAGAACCCTGTCCAGTTCCATTTTGAGTGTCTTCAAGGGTGGACACCTCCCAGCTGCTCTGGGCACACGTTCTGCTCTTTTACCATCCTCATCCTTTCCTTGTACCATGTTCCCACTCGTGTTTATTGCCATTTTTGCACCTCGAGGAAGAGCTGGGCCTTCCCTTTCTCCTGAGCTCAGGCAGTTGCAGACAGAGCAGGGTCTGCCCTCCACCTTCTCTGGGCTGAGCACACTCAGGTCTCAGTCTCTCCCCGTATTCCACGTTCCCCAGCCATCCTGACAGTTCTCTGCTGGACCTGCCTCAGTTTGCAGCAGCTTTTCTTCCACTGAAAGACTCCCACACTCCAGAGGGGGTCTCACAAGTGCTTGACGGAGGAGAAAGATCACTCCCTTTGTCCGCTTTGTGCACTTTGTTTCGCTGTTAACTCACACAGGCCAGGCTGTGATTTGGCTGCCTTTGCCCCCAAAACTCACTGGAGAGTCTTCTTGGACAAAGCTACTCCATCCAAAGTGCAGGTGTGGGAATAAACTCATCAACCTGAAAGTGTGATCAAGATTGGCATAAAAAAAATGGAGAAGTGGTTGTTGTAAAGGTATGGACTCGTGTCCAGACACTGCCATCCAGCAGCTATTAGGCCATGTGCTCTTGGGGATGTCTTGGTTGTAACCAAGGACCAAGCCAAGGCTGGTAGTTGTGCAGCAGTCAGTGCCTAGGGATGGAAAAGTAGGGATTTGTGTTGGAAGGACGTAATGGAATGAGAAAATACAGAGAAATTATTAATGTATGGAAAGGAAGGAACCTTAAGAAGTTGTAGGTCAGAAGGAGGAAGGAGTTGGTGCTTTGAGGTAGTTTTAAGGTGGATGTTGATCAGATAGTGCTGATGTTTGGAGGATCTTATTGCTGTAAAAGGCACTTGGAAAGTTCATTTCTCAGGACCTTGCTGACCCACCACATTAGACTGTGGTGTTGGTCCTCCTGAGGGCTGTGCTTTACTGCAAAGAGATGTTCAGCACTCTGGAGGGAACATTGGCGAGTGTGGGTCACACAGGAAGCAGGGAAGGTGGGAAATGTGTCACCAGTATTGTGGTCTGATAGCTGAGGGTCTTCATCTGCAGCTGCTTTTATGCATAACACTCCATGGCAGTAGTGCCCAGCCAAGAACAGGGTTTCAGAGATTTATACTAAGGCTGACTTTGTGCTTCAAGAGCTCTTGGAGTGAAAAGCAAAGCTTTTTGTTCTAAAGTCTTCTAAGGAAAAATGTTTGAACAAAATATTGTTAAATTTATGAACGACCAGCAATAAAATACTCTGTGAGTGAAAAAAAATAAGATTTAAAGGGCGAAGAGAAATAGCTGAGGAGACAAAGAGAGGGAAATAGTTTTACTGTGGCCTGGCATGGAGTGAAAGAAAGACAACCAGCTGAGCTGCAAACTCATCAAAAAGCACAGTTGTTAATTGAAAATCTGACAGACCTGTAACCACAGCAGCACTTCTGGCCGCCACTATAATAAATGTAACTGTACATTTAGAGTAATTTGCTAATTTACCTAAGTAACACCCACAGACAGCAACATGACATAAATACATTAGTGGAAGCAACAACTATAACCAGCTCGTACAGGTTCTTGGCTGCTAGATGGATGGATCAGATGAGCTGGAAAAGATTTACAAAACAGAACAGAAATGGAATTGTTAGCAATATCGTGGCATACAGGGTTTCTTTCTTTTCCTGTTTCCCAAGAGTTCTTTAAGGCCTGTAGATGCCCATACATATGGCAGCATGTAGACAGCATTTTTAACTTGTGTATGCAGACACCTGGAAAGCTTGTGGGGGTGGAGGGCACATCTGCAAAAGGCTGTTTCAGAAGCAAAAAGGAAAAGTCTTTCAGGCAAATGATTGAATCTTCAACATTTAAATCAATACATGGAAAGAGTTTCTGTTAAATATTCTGAAGGCACATACGTCTTGAGACCACGGGAAAAACTGGAATCTGTACAATCAGTTTTCCTATTAGAGATCTTAAAGTGTCTGAAACTTGCACTTAAAGAATTACCCACATCTTTTCACCTGGCAAAGTTCAGCACTGTGACCTCTGTTTCCCTAACTCTGAACCACACTGTTGCATTTTATCCTCAAGTCCTATCATGCCAACTTTTGCCACAGCTAAAGATTTCTGTGTTCTCAACAAGACACTTTCAGTATTAAAAAAAAACCCCACAAGATTGCTGCTGTGCAAGGCGGGTTTGATTTTCAATGAAACACTTCTTTTCTGGTCCCAGTCTCCTCTTCTGACTGCCTTCAGATTAACAGTGCAGAAACAAAGCTAATGAATGCAGCTTTACACAGTTTCTTGTCTTTGTTTCCCCTCAGATGTACTGAAAGGTTTCTGCTGAGCTTTTTGAGGCAGGTGATGCCGACTCCCAGGGGCGGAATCCGGGGAATAAACCAAGTGCAGAGTCAGGTGGAAAGTTTCTCTTTCGGTGCTGCTCTCAGGAAGAACCCACGTGTGTGGGCACACATATCCCTGCCTTCAGCAGGAGGTTGTGCTGAGGTTTTTCACTAAATAGGGGTTGTAAAATATTCTTGAGCATGAGTCACTTTAAATTATAGTCCGCGGATCCGAGGAAGTCACTGAGAAAATGGAGCAGGAAAAAAAAAAAAAAGCCCACGGGACAGAGGCAGACCGCGAGATTTCTCTGTGGGATGTGGGGTTTTTGACAGCTAAACCAAATCCCTGCCTTCCTTGAAGGCTTGATAATAATGACAGGGCAAAGAGGGCAGCAGACCCCTTCTGGCTGACCCGAGCTGTGAGGGTGTGAGAGCTCTTCAGTACAAGCTGACAAAGACCTGAGCTCTGGGGAGAAGGGAGCTGACGTGATTTTCTGAAGCTGATCTTCTTTGAACCCTAATTTCTGTCAAAGAGTTATCATCACTGTCACAGTAAATGATACTTGCAGCACAAATGGCAATTAACTAGAAGTAAATAGTAGAGCAGAAGTCTGCAGACTGGTTTTTAAGGTTGATGAGTTGAAAGTAATTTCAACACATTAATGCTAAGCGTGCTAAATCATAGCGTGCCATGGAAGAGGCAGTAATGTCATTTACCTGGAATCACCAGGAATTACAATAACGTGGAGGAGGGACGTGCTCTATCGTTTCGAGTGTGTGAGCATATTACAGGAATCAATAACAGTTTGTCTTGTCTTGTTTTCTTCCATCAGATCCTTCCCTGAAACAAGTAACTTGTTTGTTTTTCGCTGTTTTAGGTAGCCTGCCCTATGAATACAAGATTGTGATAGCAGGAAATCATGAGTTGACCTTTGACCAGGAATTCATGGCTGACTTAATCAAGCAGGACTTTTACTATTTCCCCTCTGTTTCTAAGCTGAAGCCAGAGAGCTATGAAAATGTACAGTCTCTTCTAACAAACTGCATCTATCTTCAAGACTCTGAAGTGACGGTGAGGGGATTCAGAATATATGGCTCCCCTTGGTAAGCAGGTTTTTAAGCATACCTAAAAATACTATTGTTGATTGCTGTCACATCAGGCCATTTTGTTTGCATCAGCTGTATTTGGACTGCTGGGTTAGGAAGAAAAGTAACACCCAGTTTGATGAAGTTTGTATATTTTCTCCTAATGAATCATTCCTGTGACAAGATAATGTGCATTACTGCGGGTATTGTTAACCAAATAATGATGGGGGAAAGATAAAGTGTGCTCTTCAAACTCTCAGCCAGGAGCAGAGAGTCTGGGGGCTCTTTGTGTCGTAAAATATGTTTTCTATCCGTGGTGAGTTTATCTAATTACAGGTTACTTTTTATTGCCAGGGTACATTCTTTTGGCAATTTCCATCCTACAGGTAATATTGGATAGATACTTAGCAGATCACAGATAATTTACAGATAATATTTAAAGTTAATTTACAGACAACATTTAAGGTTCATTATTGTGTACAGAAGCCATTTAACTTATGTGGGGTATTTAGCATTTGGGGTTTTTTAAAAATATCCCTCAGAATCTTACTTTCCTTTATACAGTAACAGCTTTCCTAGTTAAGCTTCTAAAGTCAAAAAATCAGTGTATTGCATGGGTTTTGCTCTACTGCACAGCGAACACTTCGAACTTCTTGACAGTATCAGAGGCACGTGGATTTTGGCTTCCTGACTTCCACCTTGAACCTTGTATGTGCTGCTTCTGTGTCTCTTCCTAATGATACATTACTTTGTGTTATTTCTGCTAACAGGAATGTAAATTGGGTCTTTTTTGAGCTCTTGGTATATGTTTAAAATAAGTCAAACTGCATTTTAAAAGGCAGGTTTTGAAGGGAATCTGTTATTCTTCCTTTTAAAATCACATCAGGCTGAAATGTAGCAAACAAGTTGTCAAACCTGATGCACGTACCCCAATGTGAAGTTTCAGTGTGAATAAACTGTGAAATCTCTTGGATATTTTTTTTTTTTTAATGAAAATTGGCGTTTTCCCATTTGGTTACTCGAGATGGGTGTTAATTTTCTCTGAGCTTATCATTCTACATGAAATAGTTTCCCTCTTAAGTGCATCCTTCTCTCTCTCCCTCTCAGAACTCCAGATCTTTCTGGTCTTTCTTTTCAGCCTCCCCCACCTGCTGTGCTGTAGTTCATCTTCCCCTTGTGTCTCCCGTGTACGCAGTCAATGTGCAGTTTTGCTTCATTTTCCAAATTATTTGGGAAGATATTAGATGGTATCAGTCCCAATATTAACTTCTGAGAAATGCCACTTGGCATCTCTTCCCATTTTGATGTTCAACTCTAAAGACTGTAATTATGCTCTGTTTACAATATGTCTGGCAACTTCATATCTTCAGTGCAGTGCTCATAACCAAGGCACCATATTTCCAGTGTCAGGAATAGTTTTCCAGGCACTAAAGTACCAAAAGTCTAGAGAAATTCAATTAAAGCAAAACACTATCTATAAAGCAGCACTAAGTAGAGGCTAAAGGGAGCCATTTGAACTTTCTGTGCGTGATTAGATCTGCAAAAAATCTGTTGAGAAAACTTTTGTCCACCCACTAACCCATAAATAATGTTTCTGCAAAATCAGATCTGCCACATTCCCTTTGTGCAAAAATCCTGCCACGCTGCACAAGTTGTCTAAGTTATCTGGCATGACCTATTCTTCAAGAAAAAAAAAAAAAAGAGAAAAAAAGATTGCTTTCCATCTTTTATGCGACTTCAGGTTATATCTAAGTTTCCACACTGCATGTTTCGCAGCGTTGCTAACTCATCTCCCACCCCCTTATGGTCCTGGGAGATGAGTGTTGCAAGGTCTTTTGAAGATATTTGCTGCTTACTCCATATGGGAGAAAGTCTTGATGAAAGTCTTCCAGCCAAACTGGGAGATTTTTTTTTTTTTTTTGCTTGCTGTTAGGAAATGCTGAATGAAGTTTCCGTGCCAGCTGGTGGCATGTCCAGTGGAAACATCGACACTGACAATAATAGCAGGAATAGGTGGCTTGTCATTAATCCATCAGAGCAGCAGATGCAGAGGTAACAAAGTCCCATCAGCCAACCCACCAGCCAGAAAACTTGGGAAGAGAGAAGCAGCTATTTTGTGTGGGTTAAACTAGCTGTCTGCTAGATTTCAGGCTGTAGTACACGTCTGTGCCTGCTGATCACTACTGTTCTTCAGCAGCTCTTTCTGTCTCTGTGCTTCATTCACCCTAAAAAGAGAGCTCTGTCACAGCCTCTCTGGGAAATCAGTATCTTTCTACACCATAGTAATGCAAGGTCTAAAAAAAAAAAACCAGAAATTTGCTGAACTTGCCATGGTGATTCTTTTTTTTGCCCTTGCATTGGGAAGCCAGTCCTTTAGAAAATGCTTATGGGCGTAGTGAAGACTTCCAAATTTAGAGCTCTCTAAGATCTTCAAGCTAAATTTCAAGCAGTTCCTTGTCCAGTATCCTACAACAATTTTCTTGTACTGCCTTTGAAAATACACATCTAGCTTTTTGAGTGGATTTGTTTAATTGAAGAACTCCAGATCCTCCCTTTCCATTTCTGGTTACAGTGCTCACCTTCTGTATGACTTCACCCTTTGTATAAATAATTAGAAGTTTGAGATTCATAAAACAGGTCAATCAATAGTTGCAAAGGACTTTGAGGGTCTGAGTGAATGCCAACCAGCATTAACTTACTGTCTTTTGCCTGTAGCCATCTGCAATTTTATATATAACCTATCACACAAACACACACACACATATATTTATAACCTATATAAATATTAGATTGTACTAATATATTAAAATGTTCATGTTTTAGTTGCAAATTGAACCACGAGAGCTCTACTGGTTTGCATAACATGCCACAGTCCCTAAGGTCTTTTAAATACATACCATTTGTGTGTGGTTAAATATTTTTAATAGCACTTGGGTATTTTGTCCTCTCTTATTATCTAAAACTCAGTGGTTATTCTTAATTGCACAGAAGAAATGGGACACTGTTTTGTCTCAGGAACCAGTGCTCTGACTCTCCTGGGCTTCAGAGGCAAGATTTCAAGTGCCAGATCGAGCCCCTACTCGCTCACAAAAAATTTCACAGTCTGAAATGTTAATTATGCGGGTCTCATCACTGAGCAGGCATTTTGAAATGCAAGCTTGCAGTGCACTAAAGTGGTGAGTGGTAGGTTGGACTGAAGGTCTCCAAAAGTCCCTTTTGAGGAACGTTTCCGTGATTCTGTCTGTCCCACTGTGGAGCAGAACGAGGTTTCAGGGTTGATACCTGAAATGACAGGTCTCAACAAAGGCCTTACAGTTCAGGGAGCTTTGCTGGTGGTGTCAAACTCACTGCAAGCAGTAGATGGTCCTCACAGGTGGTTCAGAAGTCAGCAAGCTGAGGTAATAGTGGAATTGTGAACTTGGATTTGAAGCAGAAGGTCATTTCTGCATCATCAGACAGGGTTTCTGTGTTATCTCTATGTTGACATCATTCATGAAACCGTATCAATACATGATTAGTGAGCATTTCAGTTGTAGATTTTCAGCCTTCTGTTGTAGTTCATAACCCCACAAGGCGTTTTTATCTTGCAGGTAAGAGTTTTAGTGTTAGCTGCAGCTGGATTGGAGGCAGGCTATACCATCCACTTTTGTTTCTGCACTGCTAGAGGTTTTAATTGCACAATTACACACTGTTTTTGCACCAAAAAAACCCCAATGCAATCAGTGCACAAGATCTGCTGTGCTTGCTGAATGAGTCAAGTGTGTATTATTCCTTTCACAGCCACTATTCAGAATTGCCATGTAAAAATAAATGCCTAGAAAGGTGCATGTGCATTTATGTCTCAACACCAGAACATATCTCTGAGGTTCATACCTGAGCGTGGCTCCAGTAACTCACTCTGCCTTGCCATATGGTTTGGTTTTTTTTTTTGGCCATTGGGTTTTTTACAGCTCGGCGAGCAATTTGTCTCTCTGTTCACCTGTTTTGTGCAGTAATTAATGATGAGACCCAAACACTAATGAACTGCCCCCGATCAATAATCAGAAGCTCTTTCTGCCTGGCAGAGCTTGTAGTGGCTGTTCCTCCAACGTCTGATATTGCACCCCTGCCTCAGATTTACGGGAAAGATGTTCAGCTGAGGAACAGGGGTGTGTGTGCTCTGATCCTGTGAAAAATGGCAAGAATTCCAGGGGCGTTTTCTATCAGGAGGTGGATTGTTGTGCATTAGCGACAGGATAAGACACATTTTACTTGACAGAGCAAGAGAAATGCAAGTGGCAGTAGGCACTGGATTTCCATAATCCTTCTGAGCAGCTGCACACAACTGGAGGAGAAACTTTGGTCCTCCTGCTTCCAAACAGCCATACAAGGGGGGCAGGAGAGCATTTTATCTTTTCCAGCACTTTTTTCATCTCCCACCATGTGGGAAAGGAAAGGACAATCAAAGCCCCTCTTGCACACATGTGACAATTTCATTATTCTAAATGACATATTGGCCTGGCTAGCTTAAAGAAGCCTTTTAGGATGAGATTGCCTCCAGACTCATTATCCAGACAGTGGATTTTTGCTTGGCTTTGATTGTCTGGAGGGCAGTGAAACAGAACCTCATTTTTCTTGTTGCAGAATTAGAATTCTTTTTAGTGCCTGTGTATTCTCCTTTCCTCCTCCATTCTTTTGCTAAAGGCCTTCTGGAACTCCAGAAAGTTTCATTTCCCAGCCAGGGAAGATGGCAGAGCAAATAATAATATCAGCCTAGAGAGGCATTTGTGACCATTTTCTCTGAAGGGACAGGTGCCTGGGCTGGACTTTGGGGTTTTTGTAGCTTCCCTCCTTATTTTTGTCCCACACAGACTCCAGGCCACCCATTCTCAAGGTCTCCATTTCAGGTCCTTCCTCCTCCATCTTCTCAAGAACAGCTGTGAAAGTCTCGTTCATTCCTCACTGAACTCAGGTTCCATCAGTAAAATAAATGTAGCAAAGATTTATGGATTCATTCCACGAGAGGGACACGCTTTGGT